TTGTTCACGTGAGCTGGTCGCCTTTTCATTTTGAGTGGAAAGGACGTCAGTAGCGTTTTTCTGCACACTAGCTGAGTTGGCTGCAGTTGGTAGAAGGGAACGGTTTCGTCTCTCCGTGTATTCTTGATACATTTTGGCTTCGGGTGTCATGGTATCCGGCTTCGTCCTTTTCATGATTTCTTTGAGTGGCACGTCGTCTTCGTCGTCAGAAGTATTCACCTCTATAAGATTCGTAAAAAGAGCATGTATTTGTAAAATAAATATGTACATTAAAATTCGTAAAACACAATTATATTTGCTAACTAGTTTGCCGAGAACAGATAAATGTTCAGCATGTAATTTACCTGTGCTTTTTACACCACAAGGRYGGCATATCTCAGCTGGACTCCAACTTTTACTGAATTTCACTCGTACTTGCTGACCGACTTCTAGGAGACCTTCCTTTGGTTCAATTTTTGTCCTATGGACTTCCTGCTCACAATTGTACCAACGACCTGGTGTTTTCCACTTGATCAATACCATATTACTTTTAGGTGGCATGTCTCTTGCAATCTTAGTACTTATTCAATCTACAGTTTAACGTGAATTTGGCAATCCAACACAATACCGCCTTTTTTATAGCAGCCGGTCCCATTAATCGCGTGCCCTTKTTATCGCAATAGCATTCTTTTACCATAACATTGTGCACGAACAAAAGTGACAAGTCCAAAAAAAAGCAAAAAATTGTCACGCATCGCCAAAAAAGTCTCCTTCGCGTGCAGTTATGCAAGGCGTGCCTCACACTTCAATTGGACGGATGTCAAACTTGATTTCTTGAGTAGTTTGACAACAGTTTGACAATTTTCTTAAAAACAACGAACAAAAGCTTACATAAACATATAGTCCAACCTGCAAATACAGCAACGGATAACTAATGCAGGGGAGAATGTTTCCATTATACCDWAAAAATTATTCTAACATTGATTTTATTCAAATGTGTGCCATTGTAGTGCTTTCAAAGGTCTAGCCATTTTTCATCAATCGAAGTCAGTTGTTGTTTCAGCTGCTGAGTTTGMCGACAGAATACCGTTTAACTTCCCTTTCATCATAATTGCCTTATAGTACATGAAAAAAATTAACACTATACTCAAGTCAAGTTAACCAAGTTAATGGTACAAGGTCATTGATTCTCGTAAACTCGACAGTCTATTGCAGAAGTAAATGCATCGAATGTGAGCAAACCATTTCTCTCTACAATTATAGGACTTTGCTTTACACTCTTCTAATGCTGGCACACCCACGAAAGGCTTTCGTGAGGTTGAAAATGCATATCATTGCATCGTGACCCTTCTAACCAGCTTATACTTCTGTCAATGCGTATGTGATTTTCATTCAAAATGTATTCAATCATGCTTCTTGCCATCTCACTACAG